CTACAAAAAAAAACACTCTAGGTCTACATATAATCTTCAAAGATGGATGTAGATGCATAAGAATTTGGAAGGAGCATTGACGAAAGAATTCAAGGACGGACTTGAATATTCATGTATCAGGCTAGAAATATGCAAACAACCATGGAAAGCGATAAGGTACACTTTCTTTATCGGAATTCATGAATTACGAAATTTATTTTTACTGACACGGTGTGGAAATATTTATAACATAAAAAGTCTATATTCATTATATTTTTTATGATATCAACATGGAGAAGGTTATGGTGGGAATGGTGTGAATGTTGGGAATGCTGGTAGCAATAATTATTAATGCATGTCATATAGCTTTTGATGAAGTAAATAATAAAGATAGTTATCATTATCAGCATCAATTTGATCAGGGGCAAGATCATGATATGATGCATAACATGGTTACTGATGCATTTCATGAAATAAATATTGATAATAATGTTGAGGAGCTCAACGTATATGCAAAACGATTTTATGATATGATAGACGTGCCACTCTACGATGAATGTAGAGAAAGACAGTCTAAATTATCGTGAGCAGATAGGATGATGATAATTAAAAGTGAACATAATTTGGCTGAAACTTGCATGGATGATTGGGTTGATCTTATTAAGCAATATTTGCTAGAAGATAATTTTTCTGCCAATCCACACCGGCTTTCATCTTAACCGAGATGGACAAGATATATGAAGAGGTAATAATTAAGTTTCTATTTTTTTTTTTGAAAATTCATATATTTATTTTAAAAACTAAACATTTATTTTCTTAGGTTGCTCGGAAGAAAAAAGGAGAATTTTAGATATGAGATCGATATGAGATGTTCAGTCGCCTCATCTTCTCCATGCTGTATTTATGAGGATTTGATTGTGTTGCAGAACGAGCTGAATCTCGTCTACTCTGAGATCAACACTGTGTGGGCGAAGCAAGTGGTTTATGATTACAAGATCGAAGGGTATGATTCCCTTCTCGACATTCTAGCTTGTAGCATGTAATCCCGTGTTGGCGAATGAAATGAGGAAGCGCCAAACAGGTCAAGTAATGACATCAAGCCCAAGAGATAGTCATGATGAGTGGATGGACTTGGAGTAGGCTACGGACATGGAGCTTTTCGGAAACTCCAATATCAACCGTGCATATCATTAGATTTTCTTTTTAAAAAAATTTTAACTTTAATTTTAATTTTATATTTGAATTACAATTGTAAATTTATTTAATATATGGAAACTACAGATTTATTCATTGTAAAATTATTTATTATTTATAAATTAAATGCACAAATGAAATTAGAAATAATTTAATAAAACTTTTTTTTTCTTCATGGTATGAATTGTTGTAATTAACATCGAATCCACGTAGAATAATATATTATGACAATTTACCATCGATTCCCTTTACAACGAGTTACCATCAAAAATCTTATGACGAATTTACAACGTAACTCATAAGAAATAATTTATATATTTTGTTGTTAATCTAAAGTAAGTTTCCAACAATTTACCAACCAACGAGTGAGTTTTCGTCATATAATCAAAGTACATCGCCTTTACAATGAATATTACCTAATCAATTTTACAATGAATTGAATTCGTCACAATTTTCCTAAAGATTTTACTTGAATAACAGCAATTTTTTACGACGATTTGCTAATCCATCTCAAAACTCATTTTATATCAATTTTATAACGAATATGGTCGTTGTGGTAGACCTATTTTCTTTTAGTGGTCAGAATATATATGTGTGTTAATGACATTGTCATCATTTCAGGGCAATGGTTGCTTTTGCTGTGCTATTTATCATCTAAAGAGATGATAAAAACTTTCACTTAAAAAAAAAAAAACAGAAGAAGATGATAAAAAATGAACGTTTGAGCTGACTTATTCTTAGATAGGAAAGATGTCTAGAGTAGGAAAGTTCTTGTCACTGTGCGAAAACAATTGTGAAAACAATTTTGAAAACAATCTCATTAGATATTTCACCGTGGGGTTCATATTGGAGTAGTACTTTATGATCATTTGTCCCTTTTTTCGTGCAGGTCCCTGTGCTTTTGAAATTAGATTCATAGAACAAACAACTTTCGGTAGTGCAGCAGTTTTCGGGCAATTTATAGATGCATTAGTTTAATACACTGGACAATCTCTATATATTATTATTATTATTATTTGAGTAGACATTTACATAAATAAACTTTTATTTGTAAAATAAAACGGTCAACACGGGCACGAAGAGCGGTAACCGAAGACGTCGAGGCAGTAAACACACGGGCATTACGTTCCTTCCACAAAGAGTATAAGATGCATTGAAACATCAGCTTGGCGAGGACTTGGAGAGGACAAGAGGTAGTTAAGTTCCTGCTAACAATCCACGGAGCCACAGCTTCGAGAGACAGTGGGGGGGGTTAGACCAGATAGAACCAGCAAACCGAGTCCAAAGATCAGAAGAGACTGAACATCGGAAAAATAGATGCTCATGTGATTCGAGGTCTGCATTACAGAGAGGACAAACAGCTTGAACCGACATTCCCCATCTCAAGAGACGATCTCTAGTGGGTAAGCGCCCAAGCATAGCGAGCCATGCTATGAAGGAGCAGCGAGGAATTTCCTCTTAAAACCAGATAAGCTTATGCCACAAAACTATCGGAGATGAGTGACGGATATGATCCCAAGTGACCTTAGAGGAAAATGAAGGTCCAAACGATCCCCCAGCATTACGCCAAAGGTAGTAATCATCGCCCAAGGAACTGGATGGAGGTGTGATGGTACTGAGGACAATATGAAGAGTCTCAGAGATGTCAGAACGAGCCGCTGGTAAGTGCCAAGTACCATGTCTTGTGGCATTAATAACTAGGGCCGATGCTGGAATACGGAGTTGCCGAGGTCCAGAAGCTCCAAACATTGAGATAAGGGGACCAAGATCATTCCAATAGTCATACCAGAACGAAACCGATTGCCCAGTTCATATTGGAGTAGTACTTTATGATCATTTGTCCCTTTTTTTCGTGCAGGTCCCTGTGCTTTTGAAATTAGATTCATAGAACAAACAACTTTTGGTAGTGCAGGAGTTTTCGGGCAATTTATAGATGCATTAGTTTAATACACTGGACAATCTTTATATATTATTATTATTATTATTTGAGTAGACATTTACATAAATAAAATTTTATTTGTAAGATATTACAAAATATTTTATAAAATAAATATTTATTTATAAGATATTACATAGATAAACTTTTACATAGAAGATATTACATAAATAAATTTTACAAATATAGAAAGCTCAATTATATATTCCTCCGTAAAAGATCGTTAAATATACAGCTCACAGATTTATTTTAAATATATATGGATATAAATCAAAAGTGTATTTAGTTTCTTTACTTATTAAAATATCAAAGTATATTCTATTATTTTAAATAATAATCAATATATATATGTGGAAAAAATCAATTTAAAGTTTTGCAATATTTTTCATTTGTATTTTTATAATTAATTAGTATCATTTTCGAAAATTAATTTATTTTTTTTATAAAAATTGAAATATATTTTTTAAAATTAAATTCTATTTTTTTATGGATTGGCCAACAAAATAATTTTAATAAATTGCAAAATATATTAAGTAGACGAGTTTTTCCACTTTAACAATTCTATATATAATTCATTAATTAAAAATAATAGTTTAATCTCTAATAAAATATTCACAATTAAATTCTTACTATATTCTATTTGTACCTGTGCGTCATGGGAAACTTTGTTTTATTTAATCTAGTTTTTAATGTAGTTTGTATTTTTACAAATATAATATTTTTAATAAATGATATAATTTATTTTTGTGTTTAAATAAAATTTATTTTTTCTAATAAATTTGATCACGATAACAACATAATTTTAATCCATCCATTCGATTAATCTGAGAATGACAATGAATATAAAAAAATAATTTTACCCTATCTATTCATATTACTTCATTTTAAAATTTTAAATTTTTAAAATTTTAAAATAATTGATTATAAAAAGTATGTAATAATATATCGTTTATTAACTTTATCATGATGAGAATATTATTTAAATTTAAATATTTAAAAAGAAAATAAATTGATATTTTATTTACTATTTTTTAAAAAATAATAACAACTAATTTTTGTAATTTTGATAACTAATCCTAACTATCCTAAGAAAATCTAAACTAATTAAATTAAAATTAAAATTTTTTCAAAATTAATTTTTAAGATAAAATTCAAATATATTATTTTATTAAATTTTGGAAATAAATTAATTGTAAAAAATAAATAAAATCAAAATTTTTGTTTGGCAACAGAAATAGTAAATATCAAGAAGTAGAATAGTAGAAAATTAAAAAAAAATTTGGTTGGACACAAAACATGCTTCTGTTTTATTAATATAGATTTTATGGATATATATATTTAGATTCTAATCCATGTTGGTATGGATACAAGTATATATATGTTAATATCATATTATTTTCACATTTAAAAACTACTCATAATTACACCGCATAACAAAACTAGCTCAAAGTTTTATTCGATGGTATATATACAAGTAAATATATGTATTGTTATCTAATTACCACTAATTTTATTTATTTATAATTTTTGTTGAAGAATTTTGCTGCCAACTTTAATTTTATCAAAAAATTAAAATTAAATTTTAAACATTATAAAAAAATTACTCCGCACAATGTGCGGGTTAATTTCTATGTTAGTTATTCCTCTATACGTTGATTGGTTTTAGCATGCTCATCTTCCGGTTAGATTTCCCGGTTCAGTTCAACCAGTCGGTTCATTCATTGGTTTCTAGTATGAGGACCCGGAACGTTTCGTCTTGTGACTCTTGTGCATACAATTTGTACATATGATTCGAAACAGCTAAAATCTTTCTTTTTTTTGCGTTACCATTTATTTGGTTGATTTTGAGACAAAAGATTGTATTGATCACGATTAACCGTTCACAAACCGGTTTGATTAAAAGGATAAAAGCTGGGGTTTATGGGTTACAGATTTAATTTCGGTTTAGAAGTATAAATTAGTTTTAACGAAACGGTTCGGTCTTTGATTAATCAGGGAGAGACAGCTTAAAGAACACGTAATGAAATGGACAGTCCTAGTTCAAGGACTAATGATATTATCATCCTCTCAAACACATTTGAACCAAGAAATCCTTTCGTTGATTATTGGTTTACCTAGCAAACCATCGATCTTCTAATCGAGCTGTTTTGTCCAATCAAAATGTTCCCATTCACGTGCAAAGCTCACAACCGCTTTCTTCTGGCTCTCCACCGATTCCTGCCTTCTTCGTCTGTACATGTCTTCTTCCGGCAGCTCGAGCATTCCTCTGATTACATTCAGTCCAAGATTGCTATTGAAATGCTGCTCATCATCAATCACGTGAGCAAACCCTTTGTCTAGACCAAACTCGACGTGGAAGTAAGGGAAGTTCTTGGGTATAGAGTTCCTGAGACCCTTCACGCTTGTGTCTATAAGCTTCTTTGCATTGTGCTGACTCCACTCACTCTCAGCTTCATCGATCGCCTTCTTGAAGTAAAGAGGTCCCTCTTTTGCTATCTCCTGAGGGATTGGTATACACTCAATCAAACAGTGGCGACGCTGCTGAGACAAACCAATCACTGTCTCTAGAAACACAGCGTCTTTTCCTTCTTTCGCAAACATCATTATAAGACACTTCTTGAAGTTACGAATCTCGTCCCAAACATTGTCGTCAACACTTCTACTGGCTGCCTCGTGCTGTGGTGCATTCAAGAACGCTCATCAGTACAAGAAACAACTAAAAGTCAATTACAGAGATGTAAGAATATATACCTGCATTGGCAGGATACAGCAATGGCCTGGGACGAGAGGCTGATGTTGTGGTAACATCAGATAGGTGAAGTTTGCGATTGACACAACTAAGTGCCTTGGCCGCTTTGGGTTCTCAAAGCAGAAGAAACAGCGTTCTTGCTGAGTCATGATGCGTTTCACGCGGTGTTCCTTTTCAGGTATGTTACCGGATGATTCCCGCTTCCGGGACTTCTTGCTTGGAGCGTCTCCATAGTCATACTCATCATCTGCAGCCTGATTAGATGTTTTGTATTGTTTGTTCTGCATTATGCTTTTGGCTAGGTGTATATCCGTATTATCTTCATTCTTCCTTCTAACCGACATATCTTTGGTAGGATACCTGATGAGTTAGCAAAAGAGGAACTATATAATCAAAACAATTTGCCATAAAAAGGAAAACAATTGGCTAAGCTTCCTTTTCCCTAGTTTTTCTTAAAGAATAAGGTTAATTCCAGTTAGCTCCTCCCTCTCATTAAGGCCACAGTACAGCTTAAACATAAGCCAAAAAAGAAAAACACCAAAACTCTTTTAACTACCACCTTAACCATAAGTAGAACACCTTAACCATAGACTCTTATCAAAGCCCTATACAGCTTAGAAATTAAAGCAAATTTACCTCACTGTAGTTCGGATGCAATGTTCTTTGGATACACCGTCTCCAACAGCTTGCTTTGCTCTCAGCCTCTCTGCTTCTTCCTGTGAAAATCAAGAGAGTTCATTTCAGAAGCAAGCAGGTAAAACAGCTGAACCAAGTTATACTTAGGGAATGAGGTCGAAAATGATTAGACTCAGACACAAGGTGAGAGGATGACAGAACAAAAAAGACGTCGCCTCACCGTAAGCTTCTGGGCTTCTTCAAGTTTCCCTTTCAAACGGAGCTGTAAGGCTTTGGCAGCCAGTTGATTCACACTTAAAGATTCCATACCGCTAAGAGTTCCTTCACCACCATCCTTATTGGTGTCTGACGGTAATGTTTTCTGCTCCACATCACTTCTGCGTTCTCCACGAGTCTCTATGGGAGACACTGATTCATTCTTCTGCTTAGAAAGCATTTCCTTCATGAAGTTTCCATCATTAGAAAACTTATTCAAGTGAGCTGCAGCTTCAGATAGAAGCCTCGAGTCTTCGTTTCTATGAGTTTGGCCCTTTCTCTTTCCCCAAGATAATGAAGGGTCAGTTTTGGGAGCTCTCAATACACGATGATGGGGCGAGTCATCCTTCAAATAATCCCGACCATAACCCTTTAAATCAAACACGTCACGAGGTCAGAATATTAGTAACCTTAAAAGAACATCACAAGTAACATAACCGGTTCAAGTACCATCTCGGAAACTCTTTCGGGTTTTTTCTCCTTATCATTCTCTTGATTGTTCCCTCTTCTTCTATTATGAATGGCATTCAAATGGGCACGAGATGGAGCTGCTCGTTGGGATGCCACTGACTCAACAAGGCTACCAAGAGAACCCCATCGTTCTCCAGCAACCTGCATGACGCACAAATGATATGACAACGAGAGACTATGCTAAAGCATAACACCGTGAATAAATACGCAACTTACCTCCTCAAGCCTTTGCCCTTCTCTCGCAGCCTGTTCCTTTGCACGCCTGAGTGCTTTCATTCTCCAACTTGCACCCCCATCTCCAACAACAGAAGTCGGTAAAAGCTGATCTTTACCGCGTCTTTCGTCGGATTCTTCCTCGGGATAACCGGTTCCATTGCCTTTCAAATAAGGATTTAGCTCCCTTGGGTTTACTTTCGTTACCTGGTCGAGAAAACGAAAACATAATCATAAAACTAACTTTCTACTCTAGACCAGTTAGATTAAACACTCCGAAGCAAAAAATCTCCCCACCTCTTCAGGTCTACTTTCCTCCATTTTGTCCTCTACATCTAAAGCCGGGTTTGGATCCGCCTTTCGTGTTGGCGGCAGCATCCAATCGAGACCAATGCTCTTTCTAACAATATCACCTTCATCGGTCTTGTCATCTCCACTCTTATCAATCTTCTTCCCGTCTCTCTTACTTCCTTCTTTTCTATTAGCCTCCTTGCTCTTTCTTCTTCTATCCTTCCCACTTTTAGATTTCTCATTTTCTCCATCCGAACTATCATGAAGAACCTAATCGGTAAGAGAATAACATCAAACTCAATCAAGACAGAACACGAACAAACAAAGTACATAACCAAAAAGTTCAGGTAGGAACTTTACCTCGTCACGAGGTATTATCTTTATGCCAGAAAACATGTTATCAATATATGTCGAAGCTCGTGGTGACTTCTTCCCGTTGAAGAATCAACAACAGACTTCAATGGCAGAGCGAAGCAAAATTCAAGACTACACAAATAAAAGAAACATAGCAGAGAAAATTAGACCATGTTATAGACAATAGATTGAAAAAACAGAAATCAAACAAGACAAGATCCAGAGATCAACAAAACTATCATACCCCTAGTGCTTAAGCAAATTAAATATACTTTTATAGATAACAAGTCGAATTCAACGAATGAAGCTTAGTAATTGATCAAATCCTTTTTCTGTATATTTTGTAATTCAAGAATATCATCAACAACACCTATTTCTATAACGAAATTGCTATTACTCTGCTTTCTCTTTTCGTATTTCTTAGAAAGACAAACTCTTTTGCGATTTATATTAAAAACTCATAAAACAACTTCACTCGAGTTGCAACACGACGACCAATAAACTGTAATTCTTACAAACCAAATTAGCGAGCTTAAGAGACTCAAAGCAGAAGAAAATAAACTCATAAGACAACTTCACTCGAGTTGCAACACGACGACCAATAAACTGTAATTCAATACAAACCAAATTAGCGAGCTTAAGAGACTCAAAGCAGAAGAAAATAAACTCATAAGACAACTTCACTCGAGTCGCAACACGACGACCAATAAACTGTAATTCAATACAAACCAAATTAGCGAGCTTAAGAGACTCAAAGCAGAAGAAAATTGGACAGAGATGCTTAATCAAACAAGAGCAATCTAAAACTGATTTGAAGATTGATGAACTCATTTAGGAAACATACCGGAAGCAGAGGAAGGAGAAGAAGAAGAAGACATCGCCGGCGACGATTTGTTGATTTAGGGCTGGAGAATAAAAGTAAATTGATGAAATAGAAAAATCAGAAGAAATAAAAATTAGAGAAAACGCGGAACCGGTAATTAAACCGGATAAAATCGATGACCCGGTATTTGGGATTTGGCCATAACCGGTCCATCATCTCCTCCTAGAGTCCTAGGATTAATAATCATTTCTCGCATCGCACTTTCATTTCCTCTCTCCTCCTACCCAGAAAAATCGTCGTCTCCATTCTCTTAGGATCGATCCGTTTTCGGTTTTTGCTGCAAAAAAAAATTATCCTTGTCTTGCTAGATTCGCAAGTTTTAAGCCAGAGATGGACGCTGATTCCAAGAGATTCCTGTCCACTCTTCGATCCCGATCTGGTGAGCTTTACCAAGAAAAAATTGGCGGACTTGCTTATTTACCGAGAAATTTTGTTAAAATTTTGAGTTTATATTGGTTCTTACGTTGGTAATTCAGCTTAACTAGAGCTCATAGCTTATTAATTTGATTTGTGAGGGCATAATATGCTTTTGGGAGCTGAAAAATTCGACCTTTTTGTTTCCTTTCTCATATAACTTTGATGAAACATCATTTATTCTTGTTCTCTTGACTGTGTCAAGCTGAACAAAATTTGTGAAATTTGTGATTATAGTGGTGCTTAATCAAATTGATTAGAGCTCGTAGCTTATTAGCTTGAGTTGTGAGGGCTTGCTCAAGAAAGGCATAATATGCTTTTAGGTGCTGAAAAATTCGATTTTTTTTCTTTCTTACATAACTTTGACGAAACATCATGTATTATTATTCTCTTAATTGTGCCAAGCTCAAAACTTGTCCATTCATGTTTAAGTTCCTGTCTTTTTGCCTCTTGTTTGAGCTTTGGAAGGGAAGTTTATGAACTTTTTGTGTATATGGAGCTGTAAAATGAGAGATAATAAAGTGAAATTTTGTTGTTCTTAGTACCTTTCATAGATTTCAGTAGTATGTACAAAGTAGAGGAATGATATAATTTTCTACGTATTGGTTCTAAGTTGTATGCTGTTAAGTTGATTAACAAAAGTTTTCTCTGTTCCTGAGAAAGTAGTGCAGGAAACACACACTGAAAGACAAATCTTTGCCTCAGGGTATAGAAGAATATTACCTTTACGCTTATTCTGTATCGGATTTCTGGGTATTATACACTTAATACTATAATTTGGGTTAAAGTTTTGAATAGGAGGGTAAAATGATTCAGAAGGTTGCCTCTTGCAGTCTAGTTTCGTTTTTCTTACGTATCTTTGTCTCTTGGCTAGGTGAAAATTTTATGCCTTTGCCAATATCATGTTCGTAATTTATTAGACCTTTTCTTTTGAAAACTGCAGAGATTTTAATGGGCTTTGAAGAAGTAGATGGAGATGATGATTTCCAGGAGGAGTTTGCTTGCCCGTTCTGTGCAGATTCGTATGACATCATTGGCTTGTGTTGTCACATAGATGACGAACATACGTTAGAGTCAAAGAACGCGGTATTGGTCCCTCTCTCAATGTATTTTGATGCACTGCAATACTTTGACACTGACACTTTAACAATCAACTTGGAATTCAAAATTTCATTACCCGCTGTGTACATTAGATCTTAAGATGAGGACATCCGTTATTTTGCAGGTATGCCCTGTTTGCTCTCTACGAGTGGGAGTTGATATCGTAGCGCACATAACGCTTCACCACGGGAGTTTATTCAAGATATCCTTTTTATAAATTTTCTATAGTTGCAGATTTTTCTTAGTTCTTACTGTGAAATCACATTGCTCTGTTGAATTCCTTAATGAGTTCCTACATGCAGAGAAAGAGGAAATCACGGAAAAGTAGTTCAAACTCTACGCTTTCTATGCTTCGGAAAGAGCTAAGAGAAGGAGATTTACAAAGGTTGTTAGGACTTTCTTCTCGTAATGGTTCTGCTGCAGCAAGTGGAGCTCCTGATCCTCTTCTGTCGTCATTTATCTCACCTACACGATCACATATATCTCCGGTGACACGCCAAACTAGAAAAGTATCCGAGGAGAAACAGATAGAGCGGTATAGTTTCTATATTTTAGCTTTCCTATTGGACTTCAGAGTTTAAAGGTTTAGTCTTTGATAAGCATTTAACTGTTTCAGCAAGAAGCAAGTGTGCATCTCACCCGTCTCATTAAAAGATCAGGAAGAGAAGAAGAAGAGATCAGAGTTTGTTCAGAGGCTCTTGTCATCAGCCATTTTCGATGAGGTCTAATCAAAGCAAATGCAAAGAGTGAGAATGAAGAGGAACTAGTTCTGCAGAATCAGACTTAAGCGAATTTGGTAAATACAAAGCTCTGTCCGTACTTGTGTAGCAGAACCAACACAGACACATGTTCATCGGAATCTTGATTCACCTGTGTAGGTTTCACGTAATGCAATGGTTGGGATGAGAAGAAGGCGGAGAAGAGCGAGATGCAGCTGTAATATTTATATATCTGTGTATTGTGTATGTTTAATGTATGAAACCAGAAGAAGATGGTACTGAAATAAATTGCGTAGAACTGTGTATTGTTAAAGTTTATTAAGCCATTAAAAAGTAAGATACAGAGCATTTAAGGTTTGGATTTTGGAATAAGAAACAGAGCGATGGCTGGGAAGAAGAATAACTTCTCTCAATTGCGTTTCTTAGGTGGCCGAACATGAGATTCGACGTAAAATGTCTAATAAGATTCAAGACTAAACCCTCTCATTCGAGTTGGTTGAGCTGCTTACAATGGAGACATTGTTGTCATGAGAGAGCATTGGAACTATTTGAAGCAACTCTTCAGTTGTCAAGATGCTTCTCCTATACAACATAAAAGAGAGTTTCCATTAATGCAAAACAGATTGTCAATATCTTAAAGTCTACAACTTCAAAGTGAATGAACATGGTTCTTGAAATTATTCAAGCACGGCAAAAAGAAAAAAGGCTTATGACAAATATACTGGTATAGTGCTAGAATATGTGTGTATTACTTAGCTATTTAAGATAGCTTCAACACTTTTATCTTCCCCCATTTCTCTTCTTCCAAAAGCCCTAGTTTCTATCTCTCATCTCTAACCTGAAGACGTGTTGTCTCTCTGTTTGTCACAGAGAGTTTTTAGGTAACTTCAAAGCCGCGTAATAACAGGAAAGAGGGATCAGGTACTCCGAACAACTTATAGCAGTTTAAATTGCTTTCTTTTGATCGAGAAACTCTGCTTTTTGATTTGATGTTTTGTGGGTTTCGTTTAATCCAACAAGTGTACACTACTTGTTCGATGAATTGCCTCTATGAACTTATTACATGACGTTGGAGACTATTTTTATCGAAACTTGAAACTAGAGGCTGGTTTAATCGAAAGACAATAGATGGTTTTTGGGTTTTGTTGGAAACTATAATCGATGGATTAGGTACTCCGAACAACTTGTAGCAGTTTGAATTGCTTTCTTATGATCGAGAAAATTCTGCTTATGATTTGATGTTCTCTGGGTTTCGTTTAATTTGATAGTGTACGCTACGTGATCGATAAATTGCCTCTATGAACTAATTACATGACATTCTGTTTCTGCTATAGAATCAGCTGGAAACTAGAGACTGATTTTATTGAAAGACAAGAATTGGTTTTTTTTTTGGTGTTTGTCGGAAACTATAATCGATGGCATATTCTCGTATTGAATCTGGAGCTCCAATCACTCTACAAGAATTGTACCCTTCTTCTCCGTTTTACAAGGAAGCTGTTTCACTCAGAGTTACAGGAATGTAAGTTTCGTGCTTTGAGAGTCTGAACCTGAGATTGTACCAATTTAAGGCTTTGCAATACGAATTTCAGAACTTCGTGTTAATGTAATGTTTAAATGAAGATGATGTTTTTTTTTCTAGGCTGAGAGGATATTCAGTTGAAACAGCTATAGGTGTTATTGAAGATGGAGGCAAAAGTCTCAAAATCAACGCTCAACACTTAAGAGATCTTAGTTTACGGGTTGGCTCGATTTACCAGTTTATCGGAGAGATCCACATTCAGCCTAATAATGAGGTAAGTTAGTTTCATATGTTTTCATGGGGATATCTACTTAAAATGTTATCTGCATTAAACCATAAGTACTAGATTCAGATTAAACCGATCCTCTTTTCTTGTTTGTGTTTACGTATATGATATGAACCAGAAAAACAAAATCTCGGGAGCTCCACTTTTTGTGCTGTATTTTGCAAATTTCTAGTTTTACAAAGTGGAACATACTGAAGTAATGAAGTTATTGAAGAACTTTGCTTTTGTCACACGATCTAACCTTTCGTAGAATGATTTATGGTAGTAGGATTTTTAACTTACTCGTATTTAAGATTTTCGAATACTTCATATATGGGATGTGTTTTCCCAACGAGGTGTGATTTCAATATCTCAGTTACACAGTTTCAGTATACTATGCATTCAAAATCGAGTTTACTCGCCTCCTCTTGTAAGTGTTCTTTTAGTTTGTGTTAGCAGTAGGTACCAATTTGAGGGTAAAGTTGTGTACCAAACCGATAATGTATGCATGTATTGTCTTTTTTGGTAGCTAACCAATCTGAAAATTGATCCATATACTATGTTTTGTAGGCGATCTTGCAGGCTCGGACAGGAAGGAATGTGGATGGAATTGATATGAACCTCTACCGTAAAACAATTGAACTCCTTAGGCAGTTTCTTGAAGCAGAAGATAACAGAAACATGGTGTAATTAAGCTAATTATTAGATGTCATCTAAGTAACATAACCCACTTACAATTTTATATTATGTTCCTGTCTAAACTCTTTGTTCGCTTTTAGATGAATCACCCTTGGTGATTTATTTTGGTCTGCTTTTAATATGAGCAATCTTTTGAAAAGAATATGTTTGGTATTACAACAGTCAAGCCGGAGCTCATCCTCCAACTGGATCAATACAAGAGTCTATTACAACAGTCAAGCCGGAGCTCATCCTGTTCAAGCCGTGTGCTCCTTGGCTCAATTTCCAGAAGCGCATCAGGCCTTCATAGGTGCTCTTGATATCCAAGAATCAATTCCACAAACTTATGAAGAGGCTAAAGAGCACAAAGTATGGAGAGATGCTGTTGGCAATGAGAACGCTGCCATGGAAAGGAATCACATGTGGGATGAAGTACATTTTCCAGAGGGGAAGAAGACTGTCAGCTCAAAATGGGTCTTTACCATCAAGCGTAAAAGCAATGGAGAGATAGAAAGGTACAATGCCAGAGTTGTGTCAAGAGGTTTCACTCAAACATTCGGGGAAGACTACATTGATACTTTTGCTCTGGTGGCAAAGCTACATACTATTCGTGTGGTGCTCTCTATAGCTACTAACATGGAGTGAGAACTTTGGCAAATGGATGTCAAGAATGAATTTCTTCACGGGGAGCTTGAGGAAGAAGTGTATATGACTCCACCACCAGGCCTTGAGGCATCAGTCACTCCGGGAAAGGTCTTGCATCTCAGAAAGGCCATTTATGGTCTCAAACAATATCCTAGAGCCTGGTACAGGAAAATCAGCATCACCTTGCTTGATCGTGGGTTCAGGAGATCAGAAGCCGACCACATATAGTCATTCTTGTCTATGTAGATGATATTATCATCTCCAGGAATGATGATATATCATGGTTTTTATGGTTTTTAACCATGGTATATGTCTTATTTATAGAGTCTTTTTAGTGTCTTTCGAGTCTTTTGGAGTCTTTTCAGGTCATAGGTACGTTTGGAGCTTAACTGGAGACTTTGGAGCACTTTGGAGCACTTTGGAGCACTTTGGAGCTTAATCAGGATCAAATTCGTCAAGTATAGATTTTGTGCTTTGGTGACGCTCGACACCATGGAGAGTGACGCGCGACACTTGTCAGAGAAATAAGGAAAAGGCGATTTTGTTTCCTATTTGAAGAAGGAGTTGGGCCCAAACGTTTTCAAGGAAGCCCAAAACGTGTCTTAGAGATATATATAGGATTTTTTATTCCCTTTTTACGTACACCTTAGATTTTTGAGAGAGAGATACTCTGAGTTTTCGGCTTTTGCGATTTTTGAGCTTGGGGAGACAAGTCTGTACTCTGTTCGTTTAGAGAAAAGATTTCGAACCCCTTTATCTATTTCGATTTATTCTATTGCTTTCTATTCATCATGTTTGTTGTTTCAATGACAATGTCTAAGTAGATCACCTGTTAGGTTTAGGGTTAATTAGGGTTTTCTTTGAATGTTTGATTAACTTGCTAGTTAGGGTTCATATCTATTTGTTCTTCACCTTAGGTTGTTCTTAAAGCTAATTCTGGACTGATCACCTAGAACTTAGATCTTAGGTTGCTTAATTGACACGGAAGTGTAATTGAATAACTGGAAAGAACCTGAGTTGAGCAAAGTAACTATTCGCAAAGGAATTTGGTTTAGGAGCTTTGTGAACATATCGAACTTGTGCATTAAAGCTGGTTTAAATTTGTAGGATTTACAAAGGAATTTGGGATTCTAGGATTTTAACTTAGATAATTCTCACAACGGAAGTTGGTTAATTATAGTTCTGTGTTTCGAGTTCAAGAGCTGTGCTTAAACTGAGCCCTGACTTGTTAAGTTGATTTGCATTCATTGATCTCCTGAAAATCACTGGACTATCCTTTATCACATCGAATTTACAACTGTTTTCATTGCTGTTTTATTTATTTCTTTTGCATTATTATTTGTTTCGCATATTTTGGCTTAGCGTAACTCTATCTTCATAAGGTTTATTGAGTGATCTCTTGTCTCTGTGGTTCGACCCCTAGATACTACAACTGCACATCTGTGCTCTTGCAGAGTAGCTTAGGGATTAAACTTTGAGCATATCAAGTTTTGGCGCCGTTGCCGGGGACTTGATTTCGCCATTAAACCTAGTTTTTGAGTTTCGACTAAGTTTTTCGACTTAGTGTCGAGCGATACCACTTGTGGTGTCGCCTGTCACCTTCCTTTTTATAACCTAGTTTACTTATTTTCGTTTTCTCTCTTTGTTTTTGGTGTTTCAGGTTTATGCATACTCGTGGAACCAGGAGCAACAAGGACATCCCGCTAGTGAATTTGAGCAACGAACAACTAGCTGAGTTAGAGCGAACGAAGCGGAAAGCAAGAGATCCGGCAATGATGGAAAACGCCAATGGACTTGTTCGTGATGATGATGGAACCTGGAGAGACCGAGAGGGTCATCTGTGCAATGCGAGAGGCCAAAGGATTGATGGAGATGGTAACATCATTCCACCAGCTCCTTTACCAGTGGATGTTGTTGACCAGAATCCACCACCTGCACCGCGTGGGAATGCTGTGATTGTTCCAAATCAGAGGAACGTTCCAGAGGATCGGAATGCGAGGGAACCTGCACCTGCAGTTGGACGTGGACGAACACTTGGAGACTACAACAGGCCTGAGCAGTTCTATGCAAATCGTTCTGCGATTCGCGCTCCTGCGTTTCAAAGAAACGATTTTGAGCTGAAGCCTGTGTACTACACTCTTGTGGGTCAGCACCCATTCCATGGCCACTCTCATGAGCACCCTATGGATCACATCGAGAGGTTTGAGGATTTGGTCACCAGCATCAAATACAATGGAGTGTCCAATGATTTCCTCCTCTGCAAGCTGTTTCCTTACTCTCTTGCTGGAGAAGCAGCTAACTGGTTGAAGCAGTTGGAGCCAGGATCACTCACCACTTGGGAAGAGACCAGGAACGCCTTCCTGCACAACTTCTTCGACGATGCTAGGTCTGAGGAGTTGAGGACTAAGATCTCGACTTTCTCTCAGGACCCTACTGAAGCGTTCAAGGCTTCTTGGGTGCGATTCAAATCGTACCAGCGAGACTGCCCTCACCATGGCTTCAGCGATGTGCAGTTGCTGGGTATCTTTTTCAGAGGTATCGACTGGAGGTATCAGATGGCACTTGATGCAGCAAGCAATGGTAACTTCAACACTCGATACCCAGAAGAAGCCGTTGAGCTCATCGAAAATTTGGCATCCAGCAATAGCACCAAGAATGCTGATCTTGAGCGAAAGAAGCAAGCTGGGAACATGGATAGATCGCAGATCGCTGAGGTGAAAGCTAAACTCGATTCTGTGCACAGCCTTTTAGTGGGTAAGAAGTCTGTCAGATTCGCACAGGAGGTGGAGAGTTTCGAACCTGAGGATGCAGCTGAGGAAGAGGATGTCAATTTTGTTAGTGGATCAGGATTTCAGGGTCAGAGGTTTGGTAATCAGCAAGGTAACAGAAGCTACAGTGGAAATTACAGTGGAAACAATCAGAGGAATACCTTCAACAGTAATCAGAATTTCTCTGGTTACACGCCTAAGCCTCAGTACCAGAAACCTTTCTCCAACAACAGTTTTTCCAGAAACTACAGCACTCCTTCATCTCAACCTCAAAATCCTGACAATGAGATGAAGTCTATGCTGGAACAGATTCTGGAAGGTCAGCAGAAGCTCACCGTGGACTTTAATGGGAAGATGGATGCTCTCTACCTCGATTTGAATGGAAAAATCGAAGCTCTGAACACCCATGTCAAGCAGCTCGATACACAGGTAGCCCAAACTGCAGGTTCTGTTAAAAGGCAAGAGGGTTTTCTTCCTGGGAAGACTGACACCAATCCAAGGCATCACTGCAGGGCTATCACGTTGAGGAGTGGTAAAAAACTGAGTTCTGAGCCCACGAAGACGCCTCCTGCACCTGAAGTCGTGGACTTAGAAGATTCTGAAGAAATTCCTGAGATTGCAGAGCCGGTGACGAGCGACACCACCACTAGCGTCGCGCGTCACCAATTGCAGAGCGAAGCTGTTGATGCTCCGAATCCGAAATCTGCAGAGGAGAAAGATTACAAACCTAAAGTTCCTTACCCAAGGAGCCCTAGGAAGTCCAAGCAAGAGCTTGATGATGCACGATGCAAAGCTCTGATGGAAAAGCTTGTGATTGAGATACCCTTGGTTGATGCTGTAAAAATCACTCCTGTCATCAGACGTTATGTGAAACGAATGGTAACCAATAAACTCAGCCATGAACAGGGAGTGATGATGATATCTGAGCAAGTTAGTGCAGTGATTCAGAACCGAATTCCAGAGAAGCTATCTGATCCAGGAAGCTTTGTCTTGGATTGCTCTATCTTCACAGAGAGATTCAAGAGATCGCTGTGTGATCTGGGTTCAAGTGTTAACCTCATGCCTTATTCGGTAGCTGTCAATCTCGGCATGACTGATTTCAAGCCAACAAGGATCTCCCTCATCCTAGCTGATCGTTCGACAAGGATACCTGAAGGGGTGCTAGAAGATGTTCCAATCAAGGTTGGAGACTGCATGATACCGACCGACTTTGTGGTTTTGGAGTATGGAGAGGAGCCTAAAGATCCTCTTATCCTTGGGAGACCTTTTCTAGCTACAGCAGGTGCTATCATCGATGTCAGGAAAGGCAGGATTGCTCTGAATGTTGGAGATCTGGTGATGAACTTTGACATGGACAAGCTGATGAAGAAGCCCACCATCGATGATGATGCTTCCTACAGACCCACTTGAGAGAGCTTTGACCACGTCTGCATCTGAAGCTGAACACTTGGACGAAATTTCAGCTTCTTACTCAAAGATGTTGGACTCTAGCGAGCATGTGATGCAGCTGGCATCGCAGGTTGAACAGCTTGAGACTCCTGCAAAGGTGAAGCAGTTATCCGACTGGAGTGAGGAGAAAGCACCCAAGATTGAGTTCAAACAACTCCCTGCAGGACTAAGGTACGCATTCCTGGGCTCTAATTCTACCTATCCAGTCATTATAGATTCTTCTTTGAACAATGCTGAGGTTACCTTACTACTGAGCAAGCTGCGCAAGCATCGCAAAGCTTTTGGCTATTCTCTTGATGATATTTCAGGTATCTCACCAGACTTGTGCATGCACCGAATCCACCTGGAGGATGAGTCGAAGTCGTCGATCGAGCACCAGCGCAGGTTGAACCCTAACCTGAAAGACGTCGTCAAAAAGGAGATCATGAAGCTACTGGAAGCTGGAATCATCTATCCAATTTCAGATAGTGCTTGGGTGAGTCCTGTGCACGAGGTTCCTAAGAAAGGAGGGGTTACTGTTGTGAAGAATGACAAGGATGAGTTGATTCCGACGCGCACAGTGACTGGACACAGGATGTGCATCGACTACAGGAAGCTGAATGCAGCGACCAGAAAATATCACTTTCCATTGCCCTTTATTGATCAGATGCTGGAGAGACTTGCAAGCCATCCCTACTACTGCTTCCTCGATGGGTACTCAGGATTTTTCCAGATCCCTATCCACCCAGACGATCAGGAGAAGACCACCTTTACATGTCCATACGGCACTTTCGCATATCGCAGGATGCCCTTTGGACTCTGTAATGCTCCTGCGACGTTTCAGAGATGTATGATGTCCATCTTCACTGACATGATTGAGGATTTCATGGAGGTCTTTATGGATGATTTCTCCGTCTACGGATCATCTTTTAAGGACTGTCTGGATAATCTCTGCAAGTTTCTGGCTCGCTGTGAAGAGAAACACTTGGTCCTTAACTGGGAAAAGTGTCACTTTATGGTCAGAGATGGGATTGTGCTTGGGCATAAGGTTTCTGCAGCTGGCATCGAAGTGGATCGCGCGAAGATTGACGTCATGACGAGCTTGCCACCACCTGATTCTGCGAAATCGGTTAGAAGTTTTCTGGGTCATGCAGGTTTCTATCGTCGCTTCATCAAAGATTTCAGCAAGATTGCACGCCCTCTTACTGCTCTGCTCTGAAAATATGCTAAGTTTGAGTTTACAGATGAGTGCCTTGCTGCGTTCGAACAGATCAAGCATGCCCTGATCAGCGCCCCTATTGTGCAGCCTCCTGACTGGAATTTGCCTTTTGAGGTGATGTGTGATGCTAGTGATTTTGCTGTTGGTGCTATTCTAGGACAGAAGAAGGATAAAAAGCTTCATGCCATCTACTATGCCAGTCGAACTCTGGATGATGCTCAAAGGAATTATGCTACTACTGAGAAAGAGCTGTTGGCTGTGGTCTTTGCTTTTGAGAAATTTCGGCCATACCTTGTGGGATCGAAAGTGATTGTGCACACAGACCATTCTGCACTCAAATACTTGATGCAGAAGAAGGATGCGAAGCCTAGGTTGCTGCGATGGGTGCTACTCCTTCAGGAATTCGATATTGAGGTCAAGGACAAGAAGGGGGTTGAGAATGGTGTGGCCGATCATCTTTCATGCATCAGGGTTGAAGACGACGTACCCATAGACGATTTCCTGCCAGAGGAGAATGTGTATTATGTGGAAACCAAGTCCCAGAACAGTTTTGACGAAGAATTGCAGGTTTTTCGAGTTGGAGGAACGTTAGTGACGAGCGACACCACCACTAGTGTCGCGCGTCACCTTACTCAGGCGAACACAGAGACCTCTCAAATTCGAAGCAGGTTTCCTGAGATCAGTTCAGCTGTTGCATCTACCACCCAACGTCCTTGGTATGCAGATATTGCCAACTATCTCGCTGCAGAGGCTGAGCCTGAGAACTTTAAGGGCTATGCAAAGAAGAAGTTCCTGAGAGAGCTGCGACGATACCACTGGGATGAGCCATATCTGTACAAGCACTGTTCTGATGGGATTTACAGAAGATGCATTGCAGAGTCAGAGGTTCCAGAAGTGCTGTTTCATTGTCATGGATCCGAATATGCTGGACACTTTGCAACATTCAAAACAGTGTCTAAGGTTCTTCAAGCAGGTTTCTGGTGGCCTACCATGTTTCGCGACGCACATGCATTCATCTCGCAGTGCGATGTTTGTCAGAGGAGAGGAAAGATCAGCAAACGACATGAGATGCCACAGAATTTCATCCTTGAGGTTGAGGTATTCGACTGCTGGGGTATCGATTTCATGGGTCCTTTTCCCTCTTCTTATGGGAACAAGTACATCCTGGTTGCTGTTGATTATGTCTCAAAGTGGGTCGAAGCCATTGCCAGTCCCACCAACGATTCTTCAGTGGTCCTTAAGATGTTCAAGACCATCATCTTTCCTCGCTTTGGAGTACCTCGAATTGTTATAAGTGATGGTGGTTCTCACTTTATTAACAAGATTTTCGAAAAACTCCTAAGGAAGCATGGAGTTCATCATCGAGTTGCCACTCCTTATCACCCTCAGACGAGTGGACAGGTCGAAGTCTCGAATCGTTAGATCAAAGAGATTTTGGAGAAGACAGTGAGTAAAACTCGAAAGGATTGGGCTGCGAAGTTGGACGATGCACTCTGGGCATACAGGACAGCGTTCAAAACACCTCTAGGCACCACACCCTTCCACCTGCTCTATGGAAAGCCCTGTCACCTTCCAGTAGAGATTGAACACAAGGCAGCCTGGGCGATAAAGCTGATGAATTTCGACATCAAGTCTGCTGCAGAGAGGCGACTGATACAGCTGAATGAGTTGGACGAAATCAGGCACCATGCCTATGAGAATTCGAAGTTGTACAAAGAGAGGACCAAGGCGTATCATGATTCAAAAATCCTCTCTAGGCAATTCGAACCGAATGATCAGGTACTTCTGTATAACTCTCGTTTGCAATTGTTTCCTGGTAAACTTCGTTCTCGATGGTCAGGTCCTTTCATAGTCAAAGAGGTTCGCCCCTATGGCGCTGTCGTCCTCCTCACACCAGATGGTAGCAGAGAGTTCACAGTCAATGGACAAAGGGTGAAGCACTACTGGGCCAAAGCTGAGATTCCGGATGGACATATCGTGCCTCTGGATGTCGCACCTCCTGCTTGAATCACCATCAAGTCAAGCTAATGACTTTAAACGAGCGCTTGGTGGAAGGCAATCCACTGGTGAGTCTGTAAATAAGTCTTTTTGTTTCAGTTGATTTTCGTTTTTCTTTTCGTGTTTCAGGTGAAACAGGGCTGGTGTCGAGCGACACCATACTAGGTGTCGCCTGTCACTTTCCATCAAAAAAAAAAAAAAAAAAAAAAAAAATTTTAGGACCTAGCTTAACCGGAATTCCAGAACCGGAGGGGAATCGGACGCGGATCGGGCACGAGGAAAATACCATTCGCACTTTGCAAGTGTCGCGCGTCACCACCCTAGGTGTCGCCTGTCACTCACAAACAGGTAAGTCTTCTCTTTCCCACGTTTATTTAAAACCCTCACACCTTTTTCCTCCCTTCCTCCTCACCGCACTCGACACTTTCGCCATAACCACCCTCACCAACACCGAAATTACTCAAATCTTCACCGATTTGAGTGATTCCAAAGCCTAACCTCATCAGATTTTCACCCTCTATCTGTTTCTCTCATCGATTTGCCATTCCAACAAGGTACACACTTCGAATCTCCACTTTTTCGATTTCGGTGCCTCAGGTTTGTTTGTCGAAATTGCTCTTTTGGGTTGATGCTTTGCTTGATTTCACCTATGGCGAACCATTTCGGGCAGATTTCGACCACCCCCATGCGCTTTACACGGTTCATTTGGCTAGATTTGAGAATTTTGCTCTTCATGCCAATTGCACTTCAAAATTTGAAAGTGTGAAATTTGTTGTGGTTTTAGGGAGATTTCTGTATGCATGTGTCGCTGGACTCCTCCTTGTCGCTGATCCGACTTGCTGGAGAACATCACTTGTACTTACTTGTTCACTGACTTGAGATTCTTTTCTTTTGTTGGTTTGCTCTGTTTCCTCTTTTGCAGATGCCTCCACGCAAGCGACAATGCAGGGACGCCGCCTCTAGTACGCAACCTCCAGTCGAAGTAACCTTCCAACTCGGAGACCACGTCGAGGTTTTGGATGGTGACCTGTGGCAACGTGCAACCGTGAAAGCTGTCCTCGCACGATCTCGTTACTTGGTCAAATTCCTTGACTCCCAGGAGTTGTAGGTGTTCCCGACTTCCCATCTTCGCCCTGCTGCGCCACCACGAGCCTCCGCCTCACCGCCACCATCGCCTCCTGCACTCCCTGATTGACCTGACGAGAGGATTAGGCACCCGTGGCCTAAACGAGAGAATCTGCGCATTCCAACACGCAGGATCTGGGACGAGCCACCTCGAGCTGTTGTTGAGAGCGTTGAGTGTCTACACAGACCAATTTCAGATGACTGGGATGATTACGACACTTTCTTCTACAACGCCTGGCTCAATGTGAAGATACTCCCCACCAGGTTTTTGGACATTCTGGATATGAGGCGTTTGGGTTTGGATTCTGAGCTCCTGCGTTTATTGACGAAGCTTGGATTGGGCTCTATGGCTACCAGACCCTACGATCTGTTTCCTGACCTTGTTCGTCAGTTCCTCGCCTCTGTTCGCATCTACTACACCAACGAACATGCTCCAAACGCGCAGGAGGGCACTCTGACTTTCATGATCCGCGGGGTTCGTTACAGGCTCCCCTTTCGCGACCTATGTGCCTTATATGGGTTTTGCAAGGATCTCCCGAGAGTCACCCTCCCTACTCAGATGTTCGATGTGCAGGATTTCTGGTCCCATTTTGGGAATGGGCGTTATGATTCGAAGACTACGTCCCAGACCGACGTGCGC